CGGGCTGCAGCAGGTGGAGGAAGGGTCAGGTGTGCCGCCTTCCCATCGGTGCCCATCGGCACGTCGGCCGATTGGTCAGTCCGGTCAGTCGGAAGTCGCGGTGTACGTGCGCTCGTTCCCAGACGCCTGCTTAGGATGGTCAGGTCTTCACTTAGGTCCCTTTTCCAAAATGCTCGCCATTTTCCGGTCGGTGTGGCCGCCTTTCGACGCTGTCTTGATTCTTGCGAGTTTTGTTACTCGGTGTTCGAAACGCGGCGAGGACGGCGAGGACGGCGAGGACGGCGACTGACCGCACGCGGCGCTGCTTCTCTGCTTTCTCCGCGGTGTGGCGGAGTGTCCATTTCATACAGCTTCGTGACGCATTCATTTCGGTACTTGTTTATTTCGTGTGGCACTTCCCTGCTTCCCTGCCGGTGTTCCCTCCGTCCCGATCGCTGCAGCGCTACCGTCGTCCCGTCTCTCTCGCACTCGTCGGGCGCACCGGCGTACCGCTGGCGCGCGAGAGAGACAGAGCGACGAGCGCTGTCCGGAGTCGGCCTGCCGCCGCCGTATGCGGAGAGTGTGGCGCGACGTGGCCCCCTCGGCGGGGCGGCGCGGCGGGGCACGCTGTGGTCAGAAGTGGGGCATCGGCCAGTGCCGATCCGATACAACGATGCGATGCCAAACCCAGCGCCCCAGCTGCCACTGCCGAGCCAAATGAAATGAAAGTTCCTGCACTCACTCGCCGCCATGTCGCTCGCTCACACACTCACACACAGATGGAGAGAGAGACTAACACACGCGCGCGCGCTCGCAGCGGACACACCGTGTATTATTATAATTCGCTGCACTTTGCCCACACGGCCAGGCGAAAGCACCCCAGCCGGCTCGTCTGGCCGCAGCCTGGCCACGGCCTGGCAACGCGCGCATCCTCGTGTCAATACGGGGGGACTCCGCTATGCACCTGGCCACCGACGGAGCTGACCCCTAGGCGGAATGTGTGTGTGTGTGTGTGTGTGTGTGTCCGCAAGCGCGAGATAATGCGAGAGAGTATAAAGTGTCCGCGGCGTCCGTGCGGCGTGTGCGTGTGGAACATGCGGTACGCGTATTTCGCCGCCACGCCGCTCGGCTGCAGCCTGCATGCAGGTTGCTGGCTGCAGGCTGCCTTCACCATTCTGTCTCTCTCGCACCCATGCGGGACGCCGCATGAGTGCGAGAGAGACATCCGCAGAGCGACGAGATCTGTCTGGAAGGCGAGGCTGGGCGAAGGAACGGCGCTTGGCTGCGGGTGCACCGTGCATCCGGGGCCACCAGAGCCTTAGCACTGCCTTAGCACAGCGCAAAGCGCTCGGCAGCGAGCGTTTGGATCATCTCTAAAAGCCAAGCGCGGAGGAGGAGGCGCCTAGAGAAAATAACACTGGCACTGTGGAGGCAATAATTGAATGGAAGTGCGCGGCTGCAGTCTGCGGGCCGGCTGGAGCGCGTACCGCGGGGCGGGGCGGGGCGGGGCGGGGCGGGGCGGGGCGGGGCGGGGCGGCGATGGGGCGGGACAGCCAGCCCGCCGCCCCACTTGCGAGGAATGCTGCACCTTCCGCACAGCGCGCACAGCCCCCAGCAGCGGCCTATGCGTCCGAATGCAACCGGCGAACTCGAACAGTCGCGGCCGCTTCTTCGCTCCCGGAGTGAACGGCCCAAAATTGCGTGATGGTGGAAAGCGGGAGGTGCCGCGGGTCCCGAAGGAGTGCCTCGCCCAGCCCGACGGTGCCGGCAGGCCGGCCCAGCTGGACCGGGAATCAATAAAGCTTCGGTGAAAGTGCAGAAGGGCCGCAGGGCCGCGGGGCCGACGGCGAGGTGCAGCCCGCTGCAACCCACGGCCCGGCCGTCTGGCCGAGGCCGGCTCGCCGGGTATTTTCGCGCGCTGCGCCATGCCGCCATGAAATTGGACGGAATCCATGAATAGCCAATGAGCGCCGTCCCGTCCTCCTGTCGCATTGTTTCTCCAGTGAGCAGCCCAACAGCCGAACGGCGGAACAGCCCCGCGCGGACACGGCGAATCCGTCTTGGACGCGTGCGCGCACGGCTAGCGCAAGTTGGGGCCTGGAATCTCGAAGGATGGGTGCAGCACTGCGCTGCACAGCCGGCAAGGTGAAGGGCATGAATGGGAACGGAATGGTCCACCTCGGGGATCCTCTCGCCACCGGCGTGCAGGTGCGCGCAGGCGTGTTTGGCACACACACACACACACACACACACACACACACACACACACACACACACACACACACTCACACTCACACAGAGGCCGTGTGGTAGTACCGGACGAACCAGTCAAGTCGCACCGTTAGCGCTCCGCTCCGCCCCGCCCCGTCTCGTGGCGTCGGTGGTCGCCTTGAGCGCCTGGGCAAGGCGCGCGGCGTGGACACGGGTGGACACCCACCCCCCGATGCTGCACCGTCGGTGACGTCCCCGTCCCGTCCTCCTGCCTGCTGAGGCTGCCGCCGCTGGAATCTGCGACCGGCGACCGAAACGCCGCGGGCTGCGCATGTTCGACGGAGGATGCCTCTCCCCCTCCAAGCACCTCGCCACGACGGCCGCGGCGTCTAGCCCGGGGAAATGCAAAAGGAACGAGAGGAGCCACCAGATCGACATCTCCCTCCCAGCCGAAAATTCCGGCCACCCTCCGGCCGGAAAATAGTCCGGCCGGACTCCGTTATGACTCCGGCCGTATTTTGGGTAAATTTCCGGCCGGACACCACCGGACTCCGGCCGGCGAGCTGTCCGGCCGGAGTCCGGTGGTGTCCGGCCGGAGTCCGGTGGTGTCCGGCCGGGACGCGGAGTCCGGCCGGAGCAGACATCAGTCACTCTGGCCACAAAGACCATGGGACAGTGTCCAAGGTATGGTCGGAAGGTCAATTTTCGATTCTGAGTCGATTGGTACCATCGCCATACCCGTAGGACCATCCGTTCGCAAAATGACCCAAAAAGTGGAGCGGGTTGCCTACCCAATTGTCATACAATTGTGCCTACCTTCTGGGCGGTGGCTCGGGTCCGGCCGGAATCTGAGGCTCCGGCCGGAGATTTTCAAAAGTTCCGGCCGGAACGAAAAGTTCCGACCGGACTTCAAAAATGTCCGGCCGGACCGAGAAATCCGGCCGTAAAAAAGCCACCTCCGGCCGGAAAAAGGCTAAGTTCCGGCCGGAACTAGAAATTCCGGCCGGAATCAGGGCCGGAATTTTCGGCTGGGCTCCCCTCCCTTCCCCTCCCTTCCCCTCCCACGGCCCGGGCCAGTTTGTAGTTCGAGTCTCCGTACCTTCCGCGCGGCTAGGAGCTCCTCGAAGAAGGCCCCAGGCCCTGGCGGTCATCCCGATCGGTTCGACGGCTTGGCTAAGGTCAGGAGTGATTAAAACGAGCGGCCGTGTACCGGAGGCTCGGAAGGCTCGGAAGGCCCAGGAGGCAGTGGACCTACTGGACCTAGACCAGTGGTTCTCAACCTTAGGGTCGCGACCCCAAGCGGGGTCGCGAAATTTTTTTAAGGGGTCGCGGCGATGCTGTGGTCGTGTTTTAGGCCGATTTTAAGCAGCCACTGCGTCTGATCCGAGGCGGGCATTTTGCTCCCTCAACGGGCAATCGGTCTTTGGACCTTCCTTTAGCATGCCTTTGTTACGGAGTGCAATTATCAGTCTTAGTTTGGGGGCAGTATTGTCTCAAAGTTGGCCAAAACGCTCAGAAATGTCTATGAAAAATCGTGTTTTGGGCCGATTTTAAGCAGCCACTGCGTCTGATACGAGGCGGGCATTTTGCTCCCTCAACGGGCAATTGGTCTTTGGACCTTCCTTTAGCATGCCTCTGTTACGGAGTGCGATTATCAGTCTTAGTTTGGGAGCAGTATTGTCTCAAAGTTGGCCAAAACGCTCAGAAATGTCTTTGAAAAATCGTGTTTTGGGCTGATTTTAAGCAGCCACTGCGTCTGATCCGAGGTGGGCATTTTGCTCCCTCAACGGGCAGTTGGTCTTTGGACCTTCCTTTAGCATGCCTTTGTTACGGAGTGCAATTATCAGTCTTAGTTTGAGAGCAGTATTGTCTCAAAGTTGGCCGAAACGCTCAGAAATGTCTATGAAAAATCGTGTTTTGGGCCGATTTTAAGCAGCCACTGCGTCTGATCCGAGGCGGGCATTTTGCTCCCTCAACGGGCAATTGGTCTTTGGACCTTCCTTTAGCATGCCTTTGTTACGGAGTGCGATTGTCAGTCTTAGTTTGGGAGCAGTATTGTCTCAAAGTCGATCAAAACGGTCGCAAGTGTCTTTGAAAAATCGTTGTGACTATTTTGGTCAACTTTGAGACAATACTGCTCCCAAACTAAGACTGATAATCGCACTCCGTAACAAAGGCATGCTAAAGGAAGGTCCAAAGACCAATTGCCCGTTGAGGGAGCAAAATGCCCGCCTCGGATCAGACGCAGTGGCTGCTTAAAATCGGCCCAAAACACGATTTTTCATAGACATTTCTGAGCGTTTCGGCCAACTTTGAGACAATACTGCTCTCAAACTAAGACTGATAATCGCACTCCGTAACAGAGGCATGCTAAAGGAAGGTCCAAAGACCAACTGCCCGTTGAGGGAGCAAAATGCCCGCCTCGGATCAGACGCTGTGGCTGCTTAAAATCAGCCCAAAACACGATTTTTCATAGACATTTCTGAGCGTTTTGGCCAACTTTGAGACAATACTGCTCCCAAACTAAGACTGATAATTGCACTCCGTAACAAAGGCATGCTAAAGGAAGGTCCAAAGACCAGTTGCCCGTTGAGGGAGCAAAAAGCCCGCCTCGGATCAGACGCCGTGGCATGTTAAAGGAGGGGTCCCGTGGGGTCGCGAAATTTTTCCTGGGGGTCGCGGAAATTTTTGGCTTCAAATTTGGGGTGGCGAGCCGAGAAAGGTTGAGAACCGCTGACCTAGACCTGCCCGACGACGCACACCGCGGCGGTACAGTCTCAACAAACACGTCTCGTTGTTTCGTTTTGCAGGATGGAGGCGGCGGACATCCTGTGCGCGCTGCAGGCGCGGGTGGCACTGGTCCCAGGCTGCAGGGACCTGGAGGAGCGGCCGCTGCTGCTGGTGCCGGTGCCGTCCGAGAACACGCCCTGGACCAAGGAGCGCCTGGACCTCGTGCTCAGATACTTCGCCTCCATCTTCAGGTGAGTACAGTGTGGTGGCCGGGCCGCCCCGCGTTGAGGTCTCCGGCAAGGGGCAACAGGTGGTGTCGCGTGTCGCCCTTCCCACGGCGCTGGCTGCTTCCCTGCTCGCCCTGCTCGCCGAGGCCCTGCTTCGCCTGCTTCTCCCAGGCCGCCCAGGTCGGGTCGCGGCGTGGAATTCCATCCGCCGGAAGGCGATGCTCCTCCCCATGCTGGAGTGCCGGGCCGTATGCCTCGCATTGGCGGATGTCCCACTTTGGACGCGGCGTCGCTTCGCGGTCCTCGCAGGCGGTCCGCGGCGCGCCGGCGTGCTGTCGCGGCCGTTACAGGCAGCGCCATCAACGTCATGAGCATGCCGACGGACGAGTGTCATGTAGCGTTGCCAGAGGTGGAAACAATAGACCGCCGTGGCGGAGGGCGCCTTTCTCTAGGACAGCTGGCGTCCTGGAGCCTGCAGCCTGCCTCACGGCCTTCTCTGTCTGTTGCACGTGCCGCAGCCCCGAGACGCGGCGCGCGGGGCTGAGCGTGGTGGTGGACGGGCGCACGGGGTCGTGGCGCTGCGCTAGGGTGGCCATGCGGCAGGTGGGGGCGTCCCTCGGCCCCGACCTCGCCTCGCTGCTCGTCATCCGGCCGGACGCCTTCTGGGACAAGCAGCGCGTCGACTCGTGCGCGCGCTCGCAGCGCCAGGGCGAGGTGAGTACGCGCCAGCCTCGGCAGCCGAAACGAAACCTTCAATCCTCCAGAGTCCGGGAATGGAAATAACTCGTTACTGCGTTGCGCGTTGCAGCCCGTGCTCATCCCGCTGTCCAGGCTGCACAAGTACGTGGCGGCCGCGCAGATCCCCGAGGAGCTCGGCGGGCCCTGGACGCACAACCACCACCAGTGGATCCAGAACAGAATCGTAAGTAGGCGGGTTGCGGGTTCGAATCCCGGCCGGGGTATTCTGCCGCTAACAAGGGAATGACCGTTCGACGCTTAACGACGGGGCTGCAGATAGAGCCTGTCTCTCTCGCACCGCTGCGGGCTGCGACGGGGCGCCACACGAGTGCGAGAGAGACAGGTGGCTGTCTGCTGGCGGGGCGGCGGCTTGTTATTCCTAGTTACTTTGATACGTCGCTGCCGGCGATGGGGGGCGATGGGGGGCGGGGGCCCCGGCGGGGGGCGTGCGGCGCGGCGAGCGGCAACGCGTCCACTTTGCATCGCAGCCCCACAGCCCTGCCACACGTCATGAAAATTACACTCCTGGACGGGATGAACACGTCCTGTCATCCCAACAGCCTCGGAGCACCGCCTTGCCGCCACCAGAAAACGATTCCAATTAATTTGGAAGGCCCTAGCCGCGAAGCACGAAGCGCGAGGCGAGGCGACACACTGCTCGCCGCTGCCTTGCTGCCGCGCTGGCGCCGTCTTTGTTCTTAATTGATTTCCTTGCAAAGCAGAGACAGTAATCGCGGTGCTCGCGGGGCCGCGGTTTAGCCGGCCTGGCTCGTCTGCACGCCGGGCAGACGCTCGCAAAGGCCAGCCGGCAAGAGCGAGGCGGAGCAAGGCGGAGCGGAGCGAAAGCCTCGTCGATTTCGCTCCACTCCGCTTCCAGCCCCTGAAATCCGACGTGCCTGTCCTCGTTCCCGCAGTACATGGAGACCTTCGCGCGCGAGGCCGAGACCGCCGCCAACGACCTGGACAAGCTGCGCGGCCGCCTGGCGGGCCAGCAGGCCATGCTGTCGGGGGAGTCGGCCGCCACCACCAACCCCACCACCATCGGGGCCATCACCATCTCCGCCAGGATCAACCTGGACCAGCCGCCCGTCACGCTGGAGAACTACCAGCAGGCCAAGGAGTCGGCGCGGAAAGTCGTCTCGGACGGTGAGTGGTAAACAGTAACGGGCTTCGTTCGTTAGCGCCTTCGATTCTTTCTCTGACTGGCTCGGTTCTCCAGGGCGAGAGCTGCTGGAACGGCTGGACAAGGACTACTCCAGCGCCGCGGAGCAGCGGCGTGAGGGCTCGTCCACCTCGCCGACGTCCTCGCCGTCCTCGCCGTCCTCGACGCCGCCCGCGCCGCAGCAGTCCGTGCCGCAGGACGTGGTGGACACGCGGACGCGCATCGAGCGGCTGCTCGAGCTGCTGGCGGCCAAGCAGGCCCTGCTGCACGACGCGTGGCACAGCCTGCAGGGCACGCTGGTGGACGCCAAGGAGCTGGCCGCGCTGGAGGAGCGCGTGTCGCAGGTCACGGACTGGATCCTCGGCCCCGCCGAGAACATGCTCAACGCGCAGCGCGAGGTGGGGCTGGACGTGGCCTCGGCGGAGGAGCTGCGGGAGGCGCACGAGGCCCTGGAGCTGCAGTGCAGGGTGCGTAGCGCGAGGGGATTGGGTGGCACGCCCAAACCACGATTTCTGCACGTTTGTGAACGTCTCGACCAACCTATCAGCAAATGGCTCCCAAACTACGTGCACTCTGAGAAATACCCTGTAACCAGTCCCCTTTCCCCGCAGAACACCTACGGCCAGTACGCCGAGCTGCTGCACCGGCTGGACTCACGACCCGCCGCCGGGCTGCCCCTGCCCGCCGACCTGCGCAGCCAGAGGGACTTCATGGACTTCGCGTGCCGCAGCTTCGCCACGCGGCTAGAGCGGCGCCGCACCGTACTCATCAGCTCGCTGCGCTTCTACCGGCTGGTCGACGAGTACCTGGAGACCACGGCCGACATTCTGGAGGCCCTCATGCGCGATGGCGACGTCGAGGCGCTCGAGTCGGTGGACGACTCTCTGCGGCAGCTCCACATTCACCAGGTCGACGTCGGTAAGCACGGGACCGGGGCCGCCGCGCTAATTTCAGCGGCGCGAACGCCTGAACGAGCAGAGGTAGGCAACACGCCCGCGTCTGTGCGCACCGGGTTGCCTACCCCGAGTTCGTAAGGCGTTCCGCGCGGCTGGAACACCGCATCCTGCGTGGGTGCTGCCACTGCAATAACCATCCTCTCCACCCTTTCGCAGACGAGCTGGAGCGGATGGTGGTGCGGCAGGGCGAGAAGCTGTCCGACCTGCTGTCCATGCCGGTCAAGGACGCGCTGGGCCGCGAGGTGAGCGTGGACTACGGCGCGCACATCGGCCACGTGACGGCGCTGTTGGAGGCGGTGCGGGGCAGGCAGACGCTCTTCTCGGACACGGTGACGGTGCGGAGGCTGACGCTGCAGCAGGCGGGCCACGTGCGCGCCTACGAGCAGGACGCGGGGCAGGCGGTGCGCTGGCTCGGCGAGCTGCTGCGCGCCCTGCTCGGCTCGCACGCGCACGTCGGCTGCACGCCGCAGGAGATCCAGCAGCAGAAGGCCGAGCAGCAGGCGCTGCAGGAGACGGCGCGGGCCACGCACCAGTACGGCGTGCAGCTGCTGGCCCTGGCCAGGTCCTTGCGCGTGTCCTGCCGGCTGCCCCTCGCGCCGCACCGAGTGCTCTCCGAGCACCTGGCCGCCGCCTGGGACGCCCTGCACGTCGTCAGCCAGGAGCAGATGACGCGGCTCAGGGTGTCCGCCGTGTTCCACCGGTCCGTGCACGAGGTACGTAGGGACACAAGGCTTTTTCGAGTGCGCTTGTCGTCTTGTGATTTAAAATTAAATGTTTTCACTGCAGCACTGCAAGCAGCTCCGTGACCTGGCCGCCGCCGTTCCCGCCCTGGTGGCGGAGCCCGATCAGTCCCGACGTCGCTGCCGGCTTCGAAAGCTCCTGGGCAACCGGGAACGACTACTGCTGGAGGTCGGCCGCATGGTGCGCCTGGGCCGCCTGCTCCGCTCCCGTCTCAGGGAGCCGCTGGTGGACCCCTTCCCCGCCTTGGCGGCGTCCGTCGGGCCGGCCGTGCCCCTCAGCGTGCCGCTGCGGGCGCCACTCGCCAGCGGCCCCCTCGCCGCCCACCTCAAGAACGTCCCCAGGCTGGCCGCTCCGGCCAGCACGTCCACGGGGAGCGCGTCGTCCTCGGGCAGCGCGTCCGCCACCAGCAGTTCTGCTTCTAGTCCCGGCGACGGACCGGGTGGACCGGGCGCCGCCAACAGGTGTGTACCGACGTGCTCGGGGGGTCAGTGCTCAGGCCAGGCGCCGGCCAGCCCGTCTGGCGCTACCCCGCGCCACGGGGACGGCGGGGACGGTATGACGCCGCTCCATCTTTGTATTTTTAGTGAATTGTGGCGTGCACGTCGCTGTCGTCGCCGCGCTGGCAGACCGCCCGTGGCGGCGGCGCGGCGGCGCGGCGCCCGCACGCCGGTCGTGCAGCACGCTCGGCCACGACGGCCACGCTGCACCACGAGACTGAAATAAAGGAGCCTCGGACAAGCCGAACGCCGGCCGGTGCAGCAGCCCGCACCGGGACGCCACCAGGACGGCGACGACGCTGGGCGGCCACGCGTTGCAGTCGCGCACGGCGATGCCACGGCGATGCCCCACGCGACAGGGACACTAGCCAGCGTAATAACGGCTGTCCAAAAATACCTCGCGAGGACTAGCCCGCCCTGCGCCCTGCCCTGCCCCGCCCCGAGGCCCGCCCAGGTTCGAGGCACAAGCGGCGGCAGCCGCATTGGCAGCAGGCCCTCGCCGTCACGGCCTGCGTCACCAGGCCCTTCCAAAGCGTGGCGCTCTGAATGAGTCTCCCGCATCATCGCCGTGCCACGCTACGACTCGCCCCCGCGTGCCGCGTCCGGGAAGCGTGCGTGATTTGCCAGACTTTGAATCAGACCGGCCGCTCCGCTCCATCCACGCACTCCTCACTCAGACATACCGGCCCCGCCATTGGCACTCGGGGCGAGGCGGCGAGGTGGTGAGGCGCGCTCACGCGTGCTGCTTGCGGTTCGGCGTGTTCGCCCGCCTTCCGACTGCAGTAACTTACTCGCAAATTCGAAATAGCCCCTGCCTTCCTCCCCTCCCCGATCGAGGCCTGCATCATCTTCGCCTTTCGGCACCCCTAGCCGCCCCGCCCCGCCCCGCGCTGCACAACACGGTAGTGCGCCGACCCCCACCCCCTCCCCCGTGTCGCCGTAGCGCCGCGACGACGACGCGTCGGCTGCCGCCGCGCCGCCGTGCCGCCAGTCCACACACCGCACCACACCGCGACGCACCGCGACGCACCGCGACGCCCCGCCCCGCCCGCCGGCCCCGCCGACATACGACAAGACGCGAACGAGAGCCGCAAGCCGCACTCGCGCCGGCCGACGCGTTTCCAAGGAATCCGCTCGAAACCCCGCGAACGACGAGCGTGACGACACGCGGCACGCGGCGTGAACCCACGGCGGCAGAGCGACCCCCGTCACCCACGTCGCGTCACGCGGCTCGCGGCTCGCGGTGTGGTGCGAAGCACACAACAGTCCTCCGCCAATCCCGATCGACGTGCCCGACGGACAGGCACACCGAGTAAACGCGCTTACGCCGGCCGGCAAGAAGTGGGCGTCTCCGTAAACCAGGCGGCCGCGCACTCTCGATGGATATACAGCCCGCCGGCAGTGCGGCCGGCAAGGCCGACGAGGCCGCGGACCAGCCAGCAGCGTAAGTCTCGGTGCACGCCGACGGTTGCACTCGCAGCGCCCTCGCAGGAGAGGCCCTTTGCAGCGATTCCTTGTCGCTGTCTCGCTCGCACCCCTACCGACCGCTCTATGAGTGCGACAGAGAGTCGCTCGCGTTCTGCGCCCCTCGAAGCAGGAAGTGACCCTCGCCGTCAGAAAAAGAAGATGGATCCTCCTGGCGGCCATTGGCGACGGCCACGCCGCGGCGTTCCCCGGGAAGTGGCAGGGCAGTGCCAGGCAGGACAGGGCGTCGCTGCGTCCGAGTTCGAGGCCAGGGCTGCCAAGGCCCAGGCCCTGGGCTCGGGGGGCGGGGCGCCGCGGGCAGCGGGCAGGGCCAAGGTGAAAGCATCGCCAAGTAAAAATCCCTGGTGACCCGCATCGGCGCATCCAGAGAGTCCAGACCCTCCAGACGCGAACTGGCGATCACCGCGGACGAGGCATTGACGAGCGGCGAGCCACGCACAATGCTAAATAAAGCCGGCGGAAGATACTCGGCAAGTAGGCCAACAACTGTACCGGCCTGCAGGCCTGCCGGGCCGGGCAGGGGGCCGGGGCGTTGCGAACGAGAACCGATATTTGTCTTGGCTTCGACTTCCAAGACGGTGTGCTGCTTGTTGCTCGTCGCGCGAGAAAGGCGCCTCGCCGTGCGCTTCGCCGTTTCGCCGCTCCGCCGTTTCGCGGTGAAGCCGGTAAACCCGAGCCTCTACCGCTGTCCGTCCCTCATCGCCTTCGACCGCGCCGTGATGGAGCCCACCGCCTCCCACCCGCCATGCGTAAATCTTTTGAACCTGTTCCCCCGCAGTGGTGGCGGTGCAGTCCGTGCTGATGCTCCTCGCCCTGCTGCTCCGCCGTGGAAGATGCGGCTAAATATACCGACTACACTGCATGGCCATTCTTGCCGCCGTCACGGCCCGCTCCACGCAGACTCGTCGCGGACGCCCCCCCCTCCCCCAAACAGCTGACACGTGTTTACATTGTCGCGGCGACACAGTCCAGCCACCCCCGCACGAGGGCTCCGCGCACAGCGTTCGAAGCGGCGGCGCCACGCGACCGCGGTCTGGCCCGGGGTCCTTGGCCTGGGACAACACGAGGACGAGGACGGCCAGCGATTACGGGGCGCCGCGCGCGTTTCGCGGAATCGGAAATGAGGCTGAAGTGAGACTCGAGTGTGACGAGGCGGGCAGAGCACAGCAGAGCGGCTCGGCGGAATGGGTGAAAATAATGAGAGTTCGGCGCCGAGGACCGAGTGGCCGAGGCCGAAGCTGAGGCAGTGCAGGCCTGCAGGCAACGCAGAGGGCTGCGGGGGGCATGAGGCATGCGAGGCCGTTGCAATTAACTTGCTCATTAATGTCCGGCAGAGGCCCGAACACTGATTCGTCGCTCTGCCTCTCTCGCACGCCGACGGCGCGCCTCACGAGTGCGAGAGAGGCAGGGCGATGTGGCGACGAAAGCGGGGTTCGGAGTCAGCCTGGTGTGCAGTAATAGTCTGCGCGTGTGCTGCACCGCGCACCGCGCCGGCCACTTTAATTGAAGCTGAAGTCATCTCTCTGTCGCGCCTCCACTCTCTGGTCTCCACTCTCTGGCGCCCGCTCACGCCCTGGTCCTGTTCTGTCGGTTTATGATGCCGTTCGTTGAGTTAGTGCGGATGTCGACTTTCCTGAAAGCTAGTGTTTAAAAGCGAGGGTGTATAAACTATCTGGGAGCACCCCGTTTCTGCTCCTGCCTTATGCCTTGTTCCTCTTCTGACCCGCTGTGCCCTGATCTGCTCGCAGTTCCCTGCCCGCGCTACCCACCCTGCCCGCGGCGATGGACCTGGCCAACGGCAACACCACCGCCATCGAGGCCATCTCGGAGCGGCTGTCCGAGGTGACGGCCTTGGCGGAGCAGCTGGACCGAGCCCTGACGGCGGCGAGACTCGACCCAGCCGCGCCGCCGCCGCCACCCTCCGTGGAGGACGTCACCGACGCCCCCGGCGAGGAGCCCGTCGTCGCCAGCGACCCGGAGAAGGCAGTGTCCGAGGACGCCGTCGACTCGCAGGCCGAGAGGAGCGACGCCACGACAACGGAGGTAAGGCCTGCGACGAGGGCCGGCGTGCGCGGCGTGCGCCCGACGGGTAGGCATCCCATTCGACGGCGTCGTAGGGACTCGACCCGACCGCCGTGGCGGTAGGCAGCCCATTTGGCGGTGCTGCCGGCGTGGAGGCGGCCGCACAGGCGCGGGGTCCCTTGCTAAACCGCGGAACGGCATCTCGCTGCTTTCACGCTTCGGGGAGACGACAGCCGCTTCCGGCAGTAAAGCAGAGCAGCAGAGCAGACGCCAAACGGTGTGGACGGCCGAATGGTTTGAGCCACTGATTTACGCGTGAGGCCGGACAGGCTGGCTGCACAGCGCGGCACAGCGCAGCGAGCCACGCCGCCGGTGAAGCGCGGAAGGTAAGGGTAAAGCCAGGTCGTTCTGGCGTTCTGACGGACGCGCGGACGCGTAAACATCGCGCACAATCCACAATGCACGGCGAGGCGTTGCTCGGGGTGCGGCAGCGCAGCCGCAGTGACCGCCCCAGTCACAGCCAGCGGTGTGGCCAGGACGCCCACGCCCCCCTCACCGTGTCCTTCCTGCAGGAGTGGCGCTCCACGCTCGACCTGGCCGACAGCGACGCCGAGGTCAGCAAGGCGGCGACGGTGACGCCCGTGTCCGTGCCGGCGGCCTTGGTGTCGTCCATCGCGCTGCCCGCGCCGCTGCGGCTCGCCGAGGAGGGCAGCAAGTCCGAGACGGAGGAGTTCATCACGGCGTCCGAGTGCACGTGCCCGTCGACCTGCACGCCGCCGTCCAGGTCCTCGTCGTTTCACACGGCGTCCGAGGGCGGCGTCGCGTCGCCGTGGTGGGAGCTGGACCCCACGTCCGAGGAGGGCGACGACGCCGACCTGGACCGCCAGCAGCTGGGCAGGGTCAGCAAGCAGGTTGGTCACCCTGACGGCCCGACGCCGTGCCCCGGGTGCTCGTCGAGGCTCTCGCCAAGGCGCTGTTCTCTTCCTCCTGCATGCCTGGACCCGGATACTCGGATGCATTGTCCTGGTCCTGGCCACGGCGTCCGCCGCGCGTCCGCGCATGCCTCTGCCGCCTTGCGTCTGGTTCGTCTGGAGCTTTCTGTCCTCATCGCTTGGTCTTGGTCTTTGTCGCACCTCGCGCTCCGGGTTGGTGGGACTGACTAACCGGAGGGACGCTATGTTCTCATCTCTCTCAAGACTCTGGCAGAGCGACGTGGGGCCGCGCGGGGCCCTCTGGAGGTCGTGGAGGTGGATGCCTCGCTCTGCACGACATGATAACCATCGCCCTGTCCTAACACTCCCTCAAAATGTGTCAACTCCATGCCAAATTTCGAAACTTAATCATTTTCCTACATTCTTCTTTTTGGAACCAACATTTAACCCGCCCCAATTCTAACAACCTCACTAACCGCACGGCCTTATGTAATAGGGGTCTGGGTCTGGCGCTTGCGCTGCATGGACCGCAGAGGTCGTGAACCCAACTCGCGCGTTCACAAATACTTTCAAGTGTTTGCTTCTGGCCAGCTTGGCCGCCTCGCCTCGCCCGCCACCGCGCCGGACGGGCCGGGCAGGCTGCCGAGTGCTGCCTCGCCAAGGCATGCCAGGCATCGCCAGGCATCGCCAGGCATCGACGAATCCAAGAGGCTGAGGGGCCCTGCTACCCCGCTGCCCCGCGGGGGGCGTCGGTGGCACGGCCAGACCGCTTATCTGTTGGGCAGCCCCCTCGAGGAACGGAGAATTCACACTTAACTCCCGCACTGCAAGTGAAATGAGACTAATCAAACTAATGCAGTTCCCGACGCGCGCGGCGTGCCCCCAGGTCCAGACGCAGACGGAGCCCACCATGTCCCAGCCGTCCGTGCCCGCCGTGGGCGCCGCAGGGGGCGTCGACCAGCCCGCCGAAGTCAGGGCCGTCGTGCACCACCACGTCTACCACCTCCCCGACCAGGAGGAGCACCCCACCAGCTGCGACGAAGGGGAGCGAGAGGTAAGCTGTCACTGCCTTGCTCTTCATATGGCCGAGTGCTGGCCCGGCCCCACCGAGGGCCCCACCCACCCCGGCCGCCCCGCTGGTCCGCGGCCAGTCCACGGCGCTGCCAAGGCGGGCCGCGGACCCCCGCGGCGTTCGCTTTCGCGTCTGGAAGCCTGAAAATAGCGCGTCCAAACAAACTCGCGTCTCCCAGGCGAGTCAGGCGGTGGGCGCGGCGTTTGGGGGAGGGGGAGGGGAGGGGAGGCAATATGGTCCATGGCCCGCGGCGGGCCGTATCGGTTACACGGGCCGCCCTTACACTGCCGCGGCCTCCGTTTCCGCGGCGAACTCGACACCGCCCGGACGGCAAGGCCGGCAAGGCCGCGGAAACCTCCAGGCCTCCAGGCTCATGCTCTTCTTGTCCAGGTGCTGGCCGGCGTGCTGGTGCAGCGCGAGGTGCGCGAGACGCGGCAGCTGCGGGTGCGCCGCGGGGGCGGGGAGACCCGCGCCGAGAGCGAGCTGTCCTGCTCCAGGATCGAGGCGCACCATCTCAACAACGCCTGCAACACGTCCACGTCGTCCACGTCCTCCACGCTGTCCAGCGGCACGAGGGGCGCGCTGGACTCGGTGCTGCAGACGGGCCACGGTGAGCACGAGGGCGAGGATGGGGAGGACGTCGGCGTGGAGGACGACGCCGAGGATGACCTGTCTTTTGTTGCTGCAGATGACGTGGACGCCGCGTACCGCCAGCAGCTGGAGGAGACCCTGCCGCTGCCGCTGCCCTTGGACCTGGACCTGGATTTGCAGCTGCCGTCGCCGCTCGCCTTCGCGGACCACGTGCCCGTCCCGCACCCGTACGACGGCCAGGATGAGGTGCACGACGACGACCACGACCTGGACATGCCGCCGCCGCCGCCGCAGGAGCTGCTGGACGGGCTGAAGGAGGTGAGCCTCCGGGACGAGAACGCCAACCACGTGCTGCTGTCCTGCCTGGAGCCGCCGCTGCCGCCGCCGCCACCGCCGCTGCAGCCCTCCGCGCGCTTCCTGTGCCAGCCGCACATCATGCGGCACGCCATCAAGGGCGTGTTCTAGCATGAGCTTCTAACCCGCCAGCGCGCCCAGAGCCAGCGCCACGGAGTCATCGCCCTAACAGCTGCTTTGGCTTGGCGTTGTCGCGAGCGTTGTCGCCCTAAGCAGCCCAGCGGCGTCGCGGCGTCGCGGTCGCAGAGGGGCGTTCAAAGGAAGTTTACTGCCCCCGGGAGCAGGCACTTTCCGCACCAAGTGTGCCATTCTAAATTGACCAATTTCAAACTGTGGACGTTGTCATGGACGCTGTAGTTTTAACTGGTCCACAAATTTTCAGCCCGAGCAGGTTTCTGCTCGATGCTCGAAGCATGCTGCGAGCGAGCCTCCTGACGTTCAAATAAAAACTGGAATCAAAAAAATATAGACTTAGGCTGGAGTAGGGGACCCCTAGCTTCGCTAATAATTGCTCACCTATTAAAGGTCGCGTAACTATATGTACGTGCAATAAATCTTATTCTATGAAAATAAGTTAGTCCCTTTTTAATTTTTGAGAATAGTCTGTTGGAATCGAACTAGTCTCGAAGAGTCGGTGAGTCTGATTTTGCACGTGGCCCTGCATGGCACAGTGGCACATTCCAAGAATCTTTGCTCAATTGCAGAGGAAATTTTGTTTCGACTTTGACGTGGTGTCTAACCCTGCTTCGTGCTTGTTGCTTCGGACACAGCTCCGCGAGCAACAAGTCAGCTCAGCTCAAAAAAGCAGCAGTCTTTTTTCCACGGATTATTTTTTGTGATATATCCTATAAGTTAGCATTGAAGTTTCGAGGGAAAAAAAGCCATTGGGCGTGTGTCGTCTCACTCCACCGCCATTTTTCTCCGTGCTTGCATGCAATTTGTTTGTTTTTAGTGTTATCTTGTTTTATAACAATAAAGCGTGTTATGTAGTTTTTTAAACCTGTGTGTGCTTCATTCCCGCTCTACCTAACCCATTAGCAATTCAGCATCCTCTCCACAACGGGGCCGTGCTTTGAGCGGCGCGGCCGCGCGGCCCAACAGACTGCAGCAGTGTTTTTGCGAGCGCAACAATATTTCGGTCCGATTCCTCCCAAACAAGGCCGTGTCCTCGTACGGGCTCGGCGGGTACCGCTGCACCGCTGCGCTGCTCCGGCCGCACCAGTCCCGACCCGGAGTCTCAACGGGAGACGTCAGCCTCACATGGCTGGGTAGGAGGATACGTGCATTCCACCACACACACACGCACACACACACACACGCCACACACACACTGGCAGGCGTATGATACGCCTGTGTTTCTGAATTACTAAATCTGGTCAGTATGTCGCAAATAAAAGTTTAAAAGAGTTTCATTTTTTCTGAGAGCATGACGCTGTTATACAGCATACGTCGTTTCCTCTCCTGCGCGCCAAGAGGCCAAGAGCCATGGAGCCATGCGGGCCTGCGTGCATCACCGCACTGCCGCGAACAAGGCGCCCGAAATACACTGCCTGCCGAAAATGACCACCACGGCGACGGCCGTCAACGCCACGATGCGGGTGTTGTGTCCACGCCGAACGTGGAAAAATGCACACCAACCTCTCGGACGAAGAAGGGGGAAAAGGGGGGGGGGCGTCAGACGGTGGCAACACGTTTTTAACGTACTGCTTGCATACGGCAGTGTGTTTGGGCTTTCTCCCATCGCAGCAATACAACAAGCACGGCAACATACGCTGCCCACTTTGTGCGCAGGGGGGGGGGGGGAGGGGGCGGGTGGCATTCCAGCTTCCAGACCGCTTGGCCCGGCTTGCCCGCTTTCCGACGCATCCTTCTGCCTTTGTGGCCGGGTTCCGGGTCGTCGCCAGGCTGGTCGCCGGGCTGGTCGCCCGCGGCCCGCGCCCGGACCGCCAGAACAACAAGCTGGTGCCGCCGCCTCGCCGTCACCACGCCCGGCCCGCTACACGCGGAAAGCAAAAGGAAGCCAAAAATACATGCAGCGTGGTGCTGCGGCCCTGCGGCCCTGCGGTGGAGGGGGCGGGCCGAGAGTGCGGTGGCGCAAGGGCCCCGCAAGGCCTAGCAGGGCCCCAGCATGGAAGCGACACGCTCTGCGTCGCTCTAGAGGCCCTCTCTTGTGCCCTCTGGTCCGCACGGCCACGGTGCCTGCCGTCACCCTGGCCTTCCCTGCAGGGTCTGCATCGCGGCAACCCGCTCGACTCCGTGCCCCGCGTGGGCGTGTGTTGGTGCGTGTGGCGCTCGTGGCGTTGATGAACCGTTTGTTGGCCCCGCCACCACGCGGGCCTCGCGGGCCCCGCTCGCGGCTCGGGGCTCGCAGTGATCGGGATGCTGCGCCGGCCCAAGACCCACCAGCTGGTCAGGGCGTTGCGGGGCGCGGCGGGGCGCGGCGGGGCTTTGCCGGTGCCAGCGCGCGGTGTGGTGGTGGCCCTGCCCGGCCCGGCAGTGCGGTGTGGGCCGCCACAGCCGCAGCGCGTCGAGCTCTGCGTCGCTCTGCCTTGGCATCGTTATGTGGCGTCGCGGCGCCCCGTCGTGCAGTGCGTGCGCGCGACGCCGCGAGTGACGAGTCACGTGACGTGCTGACGACCGCGACTTGTGGATACCCTCAACACCCACCCCGGCCCCGGCCCCAGCCCCATGGAGGAGCACGCCGGCCGGCGCGGCGGGGCGGGGGCGGCGCCGGGGGATGACAGGCTGGCCGCCCCCAGCGCCACCCCCAGCGTCACCCCCAGCTCCACGCCCGGCGCCTCCCCCAGCACCACCACCATAAGCACCATCGCCGTGCAGAGCGGCGGCACCCGGCTGGTCATCGCTCTCCTACAAGTGAGGCTTGTACCGGAACGATCGGCGGTGGGGTTGGACCACCCGCCGCGTGAGGGTGGGCAAGCGAGCCGTCACTAACACAGACGTTAGAACACACAGCTGTCTCTCTCGCACGGCATGGGATGTCCAGCAGGAGTGCGAGAGAGACATCGCTGCCCCGAATCGGTCCACAGCGGCCCCATAAGTCACGCCGCCTGCGCGCTCCAGTTTGTCCGCGGGGGGTCGTGGCGCCTCGAAGCCCCTTCGGGCCTCTGAGGCTTTGGGCGCGCCGCGGTACAACGTACTACAACGAACCACGTCATGCCGCGCTGAACGCGCCTCGTGCAACACGCGCGCGTACTTTACACCCTCCCGCACGCGGCACGCCGCACGCCGCCGCACGCACGCCGCGGTCTATTCTCAGCGCCTACGCATGCCGTGCGGCAGTGCGGCCCGCTGCCTAGTTGGTGGCGCTTTGCTGGTCTTTGCTCTGCTTTGCTCCCATTAGTGTCCGCCAGTGGTACTACAACAGTCCCGCCCGCGGCGCCCCGCCCCGCCCCGCTTCGCCACCGCGCAGTGACAGCGCGGCCCGTCGCCGTCACGAATCTGACATTTGGCCCTGGCAAGGCTCAAACCTCGGTCCTGCAAGAGAGCGCGCGCGCCCGACGCGAAAGTCGCTGCGAAAACGAAATCTGCAGAGTCGTTAGTCTATTTCTTCTCACTCCATAAATTGTTCCGCTACGCACGCACCGAGTAGGGCAGCAGAGTGGAATCGACACGTTTCCGATTTTAACTGAATCCTCCGCTAACGCATCCTCTGCCAACGAGCGCATTACTCGAACAGGACAAGGCACTTCCTGTGCCTGGCCGCCACGCTAATCGAATGAATGGGGAGGTGCGAGACGGAGACAGCACTACCGGTGTGGCGGCCGGCGCAGTGGAAAAGGCCCCGCCTTGGCCCCGCCTCAGGTGCACCAACCTAGCCACCGCTGCCGCCACTGGCGCCGAGAGGTTGGCACCCAAAACATCCGAAAGAAAGGCCTCTGGGGCGCAGGGTTGGCCTAGGTTGGTTGCAGCTGGAGTCCACCGCCCCCTCTCCAGCAGGTCCCTGGCGGTCTTGGCGGGGGGCTTGCCCAGGCTTGCCAAAACAGCGACGGCCAAGGTTGCGTGCTCCTCTCCACCGCTGCCCCTCCCCCTCCCCGTAAAAAATGCTGCGACGGAGCACCCGCAGCATTGTCATGGTTCTCATTTTGTTTCTGCGGATTTGCCCTGTCGCTGCGAGCCGCGCCGCCACGCCGCGCCGACGGCCCTTGCGGACTTACTGGAATGCCGTCCCGTCCTGCCCCTGTCACCGCCACCCCCGCCCCCACGCCCCCCACGCCCCGCCAGACCAGGTCCAGGCAGCCTGGCAGCCTCGGCCGCCGAGTGCAGAATTGATGAGCACAGGGCTGAGGGCCGGGCCGGCTGGAGGGTGGTGGGAACGCCCGGGAACGCCCGGGAACGCCCCGAGCCCGGCTAGACCGCGAGCGGACGGCCTGGACAACAAACTGGAGCCATCCCGTCGGCGCTCTGCAATTCAAATGGCCACGGTGCGCCGGGATGTCTCGGCAGCCTCGCCACTGTGCTGGTCCCCGACCCGCCTCCCTGGACACACACAGACGCACGCAGACAACACACGCTCGCTGATCCTCTTCAATCACTTTATTAACGGCGCTGCCTCGCGGCTGGCGGGGCGTGGCGGCGTGGCGATGGCGGTGGGCGAGCCGTCTGCAGGTCGACGGCGGCCGGAGTGGCTCGTGAATGCGCACGGCGGCGCACGGCCACTGCAGCCGAACGGGCGGGCCCGGCGGGCCGCGCGCGGACTGGACTGCTAATCGCCGCAGCGAATCCTGGAACCAAAACCAACCACGACGGCACCGCCACCGCCACCGCGCGCACTGAACAAAAAGGAGGCTGTCTTGGACTCCCCGTGATTATCACATCCCCGACGGCGATCACTCTTCTGCCGGAGGTTGACGGCCACGCCCCGTGCGACGGCAGCCGCTCGCAGTGCAGGCAGCGCGCTGCCCGCGCCGCCGAGCTACGCGGAGCCCCTCTTCGGCGACCTCAAC